CGGATGACGGGCTGGATGGTTCCAACCAGGCAGGGGGACTGAAGATCGGCGCCCTTTTTTAGGCTCACCTGTGCCCTCCCTCTCCCGCCTGGAGGATGCCCCACTCAATCCCCGCCAGAGAGGCCCAGCCCCGCCCCCTCCTCTCTCTCTCTCTCCCCTTTCCCCTGCCTCGCATTTGTGTTGCGCCTCCCCCCTCCCTACTACCCCCTCCTTCCCTCCCCCGGTCGCCATGTTCCGAGGCCTGAGCCATGTTGCCCGCCAATCCGGCGCGGTCCTCCTGCGCGCCTCGGCGCCGGCCACGCCGATTGCCCCCCGCCTGGGAGCCCCTGCGACCACGGCCCTCGGCCATCGGCTGGTGAGCACCTCGGCCGTCTCGGCCGTGTCGCAGCCCCAGCGTACCCCGGAGCCTGCGTCGCCCGGCCCGACGGCCGGCGGCAATGCGCCGGAGTCTGTCGCCGCCGGGCTGGCCGCCCGGCCGGCGCTCACCAATCCCCCGACCACCTCGAGCCGGCCGAACCAGGCTCTCAACCATTCGCAATCGACCAGCTTCCCAACTGGACCGACGCGCAAGCCGTCGCGCCTGTCAAAGCCCCGGCGCCTGGCTGCCGAGGCAGCGGTTGCCGCTGCCGCCGCCGCTCGGCCCGACAATGCCGCCTCTCACCCGTCTTCCGGCCGGGAGGGGAATTACCCGCAGCACATTACCCGCTTCCAGAGTCTGTCGCATGGCTCCTTCTCCTCGGCGGCCGAGGCCGAGGCACACAGCAATGCGATCGCCGTGCGTCGTCATGCCTGATACATGTGTATTTGTCGATCCGCCCGCCCGCCCGCCCCCCCCCCCCCCCCACCTGTCCCGCCCCTTCTGGATGTCTGGTCTCTGTTGCTCGCTCCCCCCCTCCCCCCCCCCGTCTTTGGCGCCGCTCCCGTCGAATCGTCACTCACCTGCCCGTTCCTTTCGCTAGTCCGGCCACTGTCTGGCCTTCTGCACGGCCGAGCGCTACGACTTGAACAAGCTGCTGGTCGAGCTGGACCCGACCTTCTTCGTGGAAAAGCGCCTCTTCGAGGACATGGCCCTCTATTGCAGCCTGTCCTCGGACTCGCACATCCCCTCGGCCCTGATGAATGGCGCCGGGACTTCGGAGGGCACCTTCGATTACTCGACCTCCTCGCTGCCGTACTCGCCTCTACGCATGCACTCCAACCGGATTGACTTCTCCGACCCGGACTTCAGCCACCATCTCGATGCCGGGGCCTACTTCTTTGCCGACGGCACCATTGTCCTGTGGAATGCCACCCCGGAGCAGCGAGCCCGGTGCCTGAGCGCCGCGCGCATCGCCCAAATTGAGCCCTACGTCGTCAGTGAGGCCGAAACCGAGGAGATGTTCTATGTCCTGTCGGAGTCCTCGTGGTGCGTCTCCCGTTTCCTCCCCCTTCCTGCTCCTCCGCCCATGGGGCGGGGGGGGGGGGGGGGGGGGGATTTCCCGCCTCTTCTCTTGTCTTGCCTTGGCGAGCTCAGCTGGCAGCTTGACTCATCCACCTTCCCGGCCTCCTTCCGCTCGCACGCCCAGCCCCTCGTCCATCTGTGGCGAAACCTTCATCATCAGCTCGCATGCGTCCTCCAACCAGCTGATTCGCGATCGTCTGGCCTTCTCCAACGCCCTGGCCCGATCGGCCAAGCTGGCCGTCTTGGAGGAGCAGCTCGATGATTATCTCGAGCAGAACCGCAACCTGCCCAAGTGCGTTCTCGCCTTTGGTTTTCCTCCTCCTCCTCCTCCCCGCCGCCGCGTGATCGGACAAGAGGCTCCCCTCGCCACACGCTGACCTTGCTTGGTTTATTCCCCACCCGGCATCTGCCTCGTCGCAATGTCCCCCTCGCCTGGCGGCTGGTGGCCATGCAGGATCATGGGCTCCGGCAAGAAGCTTCCACTCACCCGGTCGGACATCCTCGAGCACACTGGCAAGCTGCTGGGCTTCCGTGCCAGCTTGAACCTCCACTCCGGGGTACGTCCATGCGCTTGCCCCTTCGCGGTCCTTTTTGTGGCCCTCTTCCGGCGCTGTCTCCTCCATATATGGCCCGCGTCTGTTCCGCTTGATTTCTCACACCATTCGCACCGCAAATGCAGATACTGGAGACGCATGACTACTATTGGAGCGAGCCGAAGCTCGAGGATCTGCTGGTCTCGGCCTCGCGCGCCCTGGACATCAACCCCCGCATTGCCATCCTCAACAAGAAGATCGACTACACCAGCCAACTGGTGGAGGTCCTGCGCGATCACCTCAGTGAGCAGCACAGCTTCCGCTTGGTGCGTGCATTCGCATATATGTCTGCCTCCCCGCTCCGCACTTCCTCTCTTGCGCTCTCCGTCTCCCCTCATCGCTGACGACCCTTTCCTCGGGCCGGTCCTCTCGCGCCCGCTCTTTCGCCTCTTTGCTGTGTCCCTCCCCCTTCCTCCACACAGGAATGGTCCATCATCTGGCTCATTACTGTCGAGGTCATTTTCGAGCTCATCCACTACGCCGATCGCCTCGGGTTCATCTCCATCGACGCGGCTGCGGTTGCCACAAACGTCATCTGAGTGCAGGCACTTGTCCAGCACGCTCCAGCACACCTCATGTGTATCCTTCCTTCCCTCGCTCCTCGGTGCCTCCCCCCCCTCCTCCTCCTCCCCCACCCCTTCCCATGTAGCCGGCTGCACCCGTTTTTTTTTCTGGCCTGAGTGGCCATCCTGCCCTCCCTTCCCCCCGCCCTCCTGCCCTCCCCCGCCTGCATCACCCCCTCCCCTCCGATGCCTATCCCCGGAGCTCCTACAGGGTGCCCTGTTCCTGGCGCCTCCATCCCCGGCGAGGCTGGCTTTCTTGGGGTGGTGGCCTGATGCCCCCCCCTCCTTCGCGTGTTTCCTCCACTTGTCGAAAAATACATCCGGCACCCATTCACATCCTGCCTTGTGCTTTGGCTCTCTCTCTCTCTCTCTCTCTCTCTCCGCGCCCTGGCGTGTGCCTCACTTTCGCGCCCCGCCCCCGGCCTCATGCCTCGGCAGGGCCGGTCTTTTCCGCACAACCATCTCAACCAGGCCCAAGCCATTCTTCGCATCATGTGAACCTGTCACGAGCCACCGGCGGATGCCAACGTATGCCGCTCGTGCCCACCCGGGGGGGGGGTGGGGCTTTCCACCCCCCCCCCCCCCCCCCGCAGGCCCCCCAACAAGGAAGAAGCATGAAGGGCTTGGCTCTCGGCGGATCGGCTCCTGCCCGGGGATGCATGCTTAACAACAGCCCTGTGCGCGGGCCCACAACGCGTGGGTGGCTGGGGAGAATGTTGGTATGTCCTTGTTTTTGTTTCCTCCACCGCCCGGTCCTCCCATTGACCCCCCCCCCCCCCCCCGGCGGTCCTCGGATCCGCACTGCGCACCAAGCATCCGCGCCGGCGCCACGCCCACTCGTAGCCCCGTTCCGACAAAATATGCCAAGCGGGACGGGGCCCGTACCCTGGGGCCAGAGTGCGGGGCGGGGGGGGTCTTCCGGCACCGCGACTCAACGCGTATCTGGAGATGGTGTGGGAGACTTCCTGGGAGTGTGTGTGTGTGTGTGTGTGTGTATGTGTGTGGTTTTAACTACGGGATGGCCTCCCATTTGCTTCTCCTCTTGGGCTAGCCCAATGAGCCAGCTCCCCGCCCCCGGGGCGCTTGTCAATGTCCCTCCACTCCTTTCTCCCCTTCTCCTCCCCTTCGCCCGCCTCCTCCTTTTTTCCCCCCCCTTCCCCCCTTTTGGTGCCCCCCGGTCCCCCCCCCCCCCCCATCCCCGACCACCAGTTCCTTCCT